GAATTAGGGGCAAAAAAGGGGCCAAAAACAAGCATTTTTCTAGTTTCCAGACAATAACTTGTGTTTAAGTGTATGAATCTCTCTAAAATTGTACTACAAGGTTCCATACCACAAAGGGAAGGCTGGGATTGAGTTTTGGGGTAGTTACTCCAAGGGTAGGGGGGGTCAAAAAGTTTGGGGGGGGGGTTTCCAATTTTTTTTTCTTCAAAATTTTTGAATTTCAAATTTTTTGAAAAGCTTCAAGAAGAAATCTTCAATTGCACAGTATTGCGCAATAGCAAGAAATCTTCAATAGCACAGTATTCCGCAATAGCAAATCTTCAATTGCGCTATAGCACAGTATTGCGCAACAGCACAGTATTGCGCAACAGCACAGTATTGTGCAATAGCACAGTATTGCGCAATAGCAAGAAATCTTCAATTGCACAGTATTGCACAATAGCACAGTATTGGGGGAAATAGCAAGAAATCTTCAATAGCACAGTATTGCGCAATAGCAGGAAATCTTCAATTGCGCAACAGCACAGTATTGCGCTGTGATATTGCGCAATAGCAAGAAATCTTCAATTGAAAATAAATACAAATCTTTTAACCAATTTCAATGGGATTAATTTAAAGTCTTTAATTTTTGGGGGTTCTAACCTTGTAATACTATTTTGGATATTTGGCCCCATTTTTAAATTGGTCTACATTGAGGTCAAAAGGGTCCCAAATTAAACTTTGTTTGATTTCATCAAAAACTGAATTATTGCGTCTGTATGATATGCTGAATCTTATGTGCATATAGATTTTTTATTTTGGGCCCTGTTTTCAAATTAGTCCATCTTAAGGTTTGAAGGGTCCAAAATTAAACTTTGTTTGATTTCAACTAAAATTAAATTTTTGGTGTTTTTTTATATGCTGAATCTTAGCATGTTGTTAGACTTTGGATATCAGACCATTCTAGGTAAATTAAATGTCCCATTTCAAATTTTTAAGATCTTTGACCACATTTATTTTGTGTCAGAAACCTATATAATGTCAAAAGTTTGATCACAATCCAAATTCAGACAGTATCAAGCTTGAAAATTGTGTCTAAACTTGCCCCAACTGTTCAGAGTGTGACCTCTGCGGTCGTATCAGGCTGCACTCAGCGAAGCATTTTATTACTAATTCTTTTGGTGTTTTTGACTATTATCTAGAAAACTATAATAGCTAGTAAGAAACTTAAAAAAGCAAAAGTGATCAGCAAGCCAAGGATCTTCAAATGTGTCAGCATAGATGAAATTGTCAGTTGTCTTCCTATAGGATTTATTGCCCTTAATTGACAACTTTTTATACGACCGCAAAAAAATTTTTGTGGTCGTATATTGGTATGACGTTGGCGTCGTCGTCGTTGTCGGCGTCGTCCGAAGACACATTGGTTTTCGCACTCTAACTTTTGTTTAAGTGAATGGATCTCTATGAAATTTTACCACAAGGTTCAATACCACAAAAGGAAGGTTGGGATTGATTTTGGGGGTTATGGTACCAACAGTTAAGGAATAAGGGGCCAAAAAGGGGCCAAAAATAAGCATTTTTGTAACTTCCAGACATAACTTGTGTGTTAGTGTATGGATCTCTCTGACATTGTACCACAAGGTTCCATATCACAAAAGGAATGCTGGGATTGATTTTGGGGGTAATTGCCTCAAAATTTTAGGAATTAGGGGCCAAAAAAGGGTAAAAAAACAAGCATTTTTCTAGTTTCATGACAATAACTTGTATGTAAGTGTATGGATCTTTCTGAAATTGTACTACAAGGTTACATATCACAAAGGGAAAGCTGGAATTGAGTTTGGGGGTAATTGCCGAAACGTTTAGGAATTGGGGGCCAAAAAGGGGCCAAAAATAAGCATTTTTCTAGTTTCCAGACAATAACTTGTGTTCAAGTGTATGGATCTCTCTGAAATTGTACTGCAAGGTACCATACCACAAAGGGAAGACTGGGATTGATGATGGGGGGGTAATTGCCTCAATATTTTAGGAATTAGGGGCCAAAAAGGGGCAAAAAACAAGCATTTTTCTAGTTTCAGGACAATAACTTGTGTGTAAGTGTATGGATCTTTCTGAAATTTTACTACAAGGTTCCATATCACAAAGGGAAAGCTGGAATTGAGTTTGGGGGTAATTGCCCTAAACGTTTAGGAATTTGGGGCCAAAAAGGGGCCAAAAAACAAATTTTTCTAGTTTCCAGACAATAACTTGTGTTCAAGTGTATGGATCTCTCTGAAATTGTACTGCAAGGTGCCATACCACAAAGGGAAAAAAAAAATTTTTTTTTCTTTTTTTCCTTTTTTTTTCTTTTAAAATTTTCCATTTTAAGTTGGTTATTTCTGATTTATATTTAAAAGCAAATAATAATGATATGGTAGGAGATACACACCAAACAGGATGTGTAAATTATTATATAATAAGTATTGTGCAATAGCAAGAATTTTTCAATTGCACAGTATTGCACAATAGCAAGAAATCTTCAATTGCACAGTATTGCGCAATAGCAAGAAATCTTCTATTGCGCAATAGCAAGAAATATCCAATAATAGCACAATATTGCACAATAGCAAGAAATTGTCAATTGTACAGTATTGCGCATTAGCAAGAAATATTTAATTGCACAGTATTGTGCAAAAGAAGATACTTCGTATAAATTGCTTATTTCTTGACCAATTTCAATGGGGTTTTATTCTTGAGGTTCTTTAATATGCTGAATCTAACCGTGTATTTAGTTTTTGGATTTTGGGCCCGGTTTTTAAATTGGTCCACATTGAGGTCCAAAGGGTCCAAAATTAAACTTTGTTTGATTTCATCAAAAATTGAATTATTGGGGTTCTTTGATATGCCGAATCTAACCTTGTATTTAGATTCTTAATTTTTGGTTCCGTTTTCAAATTGGTCTACATTAAGGTCCAAAGGGTCCAAAATTAAACTTAGTTTGATTTTAACAAAAATTGAATTTTTAGGGTTCTTTGATATGCTGAATCTAAACATGTATTTAGATTTTTGATTATTGGCCCAGTTTTCAAGTTGGTCCAAATCGGGGTCCAAAATTAAACTTTGTTTGATTTCAACAAAAATTGAATATATGGGGTTCTTTGATATGCTGAATCTAACCATGTATTTAGATTTTTGGGCCCCGTTATCAACTTTGTCCACATTGAGGTCAAAAGGGTCCAAAATTAAACTTTGTTTGATTTCATCAAAAATTGAATTCTTGGGGTTCTTTGATATGCTGAATCTAACCATGTATTTAGATTTTGGATATTGGACCATAATAGGTGAATGTCCGATTTAAAAATTTTAAGTTCTTAGACCACATTCATTCTGTGTCAGAAACCTATGCTGTGTCAAATATTTAATCACAATCCAAATGCAAAGCTGTATCAAGCTTGAATGTTGTGTCCATACTTGCCCCAACTGTTCAGGGTTCGACCTCTGCGGTCGTATCAAGCTGCGCCCTGCGGAGCATTTTATTTATCCCTTTTTGTGATTTTGGAAAAAAAACTATGATCAACTGTTAACAAAAAAAATGATCAGCAATGCAAGATCAACAAAAAAGACATTTCAGTCTTGAATTATATTCTAGTCTTCAATGTCTATTTTTAAGATGCACATAGACTTAGGTGAGTGACACATCCTCCTCTGAGAGCCTCTAGTGTTGATTAAACAATGTAATTTCTGATAGGAACACCATTTACATCTAAAACTGTGTCTCACTTTTACTATGAAGTTTCATTAATCATATACTGGAATAAAAAGTTCACATCAAGTACTTTAATCCCATGCTATACTCACCAAGTTGCATTATTCTCATTAAAAAAAACCTTGCCATCATTTCTGAATTTGCAGCATTTAATCTCCTCACCTTTTGTAACAATTTTGAAAGAATTTAAAGACAATATTTATACTTGGGTTTAACTTGTCCCTTGTGTATTTATTTGCATGAGATGCCTAGAACCTGTATGAAACTAGTTTAAGAACAAATTGAAAGCACTTCAAGATACTTTCAGGTTGTAATTGTAAAGATTGATAATAAATCATTTCAACATTCAAGACTACATAAAGTATCAAAGCCAGCCACTGTCTCCAGACTACATTTTATTATATTTATTTTTGAAAATGTCAGGAAATAAGATGTAGGTTATAAATTATTAAGTCAGCTACCCAAAGACAAACAAAACTAATTGACAATCAGAGGTCAAACATTGGATCATAGTAACTTTTACAGACACAATTTAGTTCATCATCATAACAAATATTTAATTTTAGAGACCCGCAGTTTTTTAACCTGATCCCTATTCTGTGTAATATTCTGGGCTTCTTATTAAATATACATATAGATTGTTTGGTTTTCTACACATCGATATTTTTAATTATTACATTGGTAGCATTGAATTACATTGATTTCCCAGTCAAATAAAAACCGATAATTTCACATGTGAAATAAACGTGGTTATTTCACTCTCTGACGTCATACAACAATAGGCGTTGTCAAGACGTCGATAACGTCGGATCAAAACAAATTGTGAATGCGTAGAAAAAAAATATAGTTCCTTACATTTTCTACATTAATTTCATTAAAAAAAGCCATTTGCCAATGTAATAAAAAGAATAACTAGTCAAAGAATTCAAATATCGAAAAATATTCAACTCGTGACCGAACAACACTGATAATTAACTCATGCGCTACGCGCATTAGTGAATTAATGTGTTGTTCGGTCACTCGTTGAATATTTTTCTCTATTTGAATTCTTCGATTAGTTATTCTATAATTATCAGCTGCAGGCCATAATGGGAACCTTTATAACGAATGAGCTAAAAGGCTTTACATTGTGTCAAGGCTGATATTTATTATTTGTATATACACAGAAAATACATAATCTGTTTATAGTGCTATTTCTGGTTTGATTAAAGTTATAGTGTTAGATTCTGTGTAACATGTTAGGTTTCACATATGATATACGTTTTATTTAATTTTACAGGGACAATTTTACAATTTGACACCAAATCTGTGTAACATGTTAGGATTATCATACAGTAGAATATATAACATACTCAAGTTACAAGGACTTTATTCCTTAGGTAAGAATTAAAAATTTTATTATCCTGAAATGGAATATTGTGTTTCAAATTCATGACATAAAAATCCTTTCATGTCCTTGATAAAACAAAGAAAACTAAATCAGTGCTTTAATTATTCTTCATCTCACATTGAGGCCACCAACTAAGAGCAATATATATCTTACACCTCACTACTAGTTAAATTGCCCCTAGCACTGGTTTGATCTTAATTTGCTGCATGTCAAGTACATGCTAAGCATACATCTGTTCATGATGTTTTTAAAATTGTTGTCATATCTTATATTCCTACCTACCATCTACCTCAGCATCCTTCAGTTTTATACTTGCAAAATTTTCTATTTGAAGACAGTTCACTGTAGGTTTAGGAAAACATTCAGTTAAGCCTTTCTTGTTATGTGAGTCCTCTGCCCATTTTTATATAGAATTCAACCAAACAATATTAGCCCTTAAAAGTATATATGATAAACCCCAATTTAGGTGTTGGCCCAGCTGTCCAATGCAGAAAATATGTTGTAGAGTTGCCTTTCAGCATTTGGTTCATACTATCATAATAACACACAGTCCAGACATATCTCTGTGTAAACAGTTTAGTTATTGCTCTTAAGATTTAAATTTAATTTTATATTTATTTGCAGGTATCAGTGTGCAGTTATTAACAGAAAGAGTCCTTGCAGCAATCTTTATCTTTATATTCTTAATAGATGAATATGCAACCATAGACAAGACTATGATCTCAGATGTCATGATTACCCATGATGCATCTGATCATGCCGTCAACTTTAGAATTCTGTACAAAGGGAAATCTCAAAATGTGAAACTAATAAAGAAAGAACTTGTTATTGTTTATAAGTGGTTGTTACAAATGAAAAGGGAACACTCAAATCTTGTCAGGGATTTAGAACTTGGGAAAAGTGTGGAAGATTTAATACGTAATTTGTATTTTGCATGTAAAATTTAAATGTAAATCCCTGAATTTAAAATTAAATGACAAGAAGAGTTTTAAGACATGTGCAGTTATGATACATGACAATAAAAGCATATAGTTGGAAAAAAAATTTGGAGTACATTGCTGCATTCTTAAGATAATTAACTTGATAAAATAATTGTCTGAATATTTCATTACCTTCTGTATTCCTCATGATACATTTAACCATAACTTTTTTGAGTGATTCGTATTTAATTCTGTGATATGTACAGTAGATATGTGATATATAATGTATACATTAATCTTTTACTGTAATAAAAACTTGTGTGATATGTGATACCATTATTTATACATAAATCTTTTAAAAAAATAAACAATTGATTGAATATTTGTCAGATTCTGATTATGACATTGTACTTTAATCTGTGACCTTCAAAACATTGTTCAAATTAAGCAGTTGTTGGCTTTCAAATATTTTTGGCTTTGAGTGTTCCTAATGAAGGAAAACCCAGAAAGAATTTGGAAGCATGAAATGTATAAAGATAATATAACTGGAAAGATTTCAAATAAGTCTACACAGTTTCCAGTCTTAACATTAAACAGCTATAACTGTGATCCATAACGTGAGGCAGATCCAGGGGGAATGAGGGCATATGCCCCCTTTTGATAGCCCAGGAAAAAAATAAAATTCATGTTTCTCACGATTTATATGAGTTTTATATGACCGCAATAGTGGTATGACATTGTCGTTGTCATCGTCAGTGTCATCCAAAAACATTTTATTTCCAGACAATAACCTGAGTATAAGTGTATGGATCTCTATGTAATTGTATCACAAGGTTTCATACCACAAAAAGAAGGTTAGGTATGGCCCTAACCGTTTAGGAATTAGGGGCCATAAATGGGCCAAAAGCATGCATTTTTCTGGTTTCCGGACAATAACTAGAGTATAAATCCATGCATCTCTATGAAATTTTACCACAAGGTTCCACACAGAAAAAGGGATATTGGGATTGATTATAGGGGTTATGGCCTAAACCAATAAGGAAAAAAGAGTAAAAACAATACTTTTCTTATACTTTGTATAAATTGCTTATTTCTTAAATAATTTCAATGGGGTTTAACTCAAAGTCTTGAATTCTTTGGGTTTCTTGATAATGGACCCGTTTTCAAATTGGTCCAGCTCAATGCTATATATTTCACTTTCCTGGATTTATATACACCCCCTCCCCCATTTTATAAATCCTGGATCTGCCCCTGATAACTATATGTTTACATTTAAAACATCAGTTGAAGCTGTACTTTATTCTTTATGTACAAAGCCACTTTTATTGTTTGCAAATTAATAACAACTGAGTTAAAGCAGAACTTCACTGACAGAGGTACAGAAAAGCAATAATCTACAGACTGTCAAAATGCATATCTGATTCTTGTGAAGTTATTGTTGTATTCAATATGGATTTTGTATTTTGTTGCATGGTCAAAACAAGATTAAATACAAAAACGTATAACAAAAATACCAAACTTTTCAATAATAAAGACATTTTTTTCTTAATCCAGAACTTGATCTCACACACAAAAAAAATCTGAAGTATGACACGCAGTACAACTGCTCGCATAAAATAAACGTTACAATACACATCCAGATTTAGTTACAATACACATCCAGATTCAATTACAATACACATCCTGATTCAGTTACAATACACATCCAGATTTAGTTACAATACACTTCCAGATTTAGTTACAAAACACATCCAGATTTAATTACAATACATATCCAGATCCAGTTACAATACACATCCAGATGCATTCACAATACACATTTAGATCCATTCACAATACACATTTAGATCAAGTAACAGTACACATCCAGATTCATATACAATAAGCATCCAGATCCAGTTACAATGCACATCCAGATCCAGTAACAATAAACATCCAGATCGAGTAACAGTACACCTGAAGATTTAGAAGCAATACACATCGATGGCCAGTTAAAATACACATCCAGATCAGGTTAAAATACACATTCAGATCCAGTTAAAATACACATCCAGTTCCAGTTACAATACACAGCAAGATCTAGTTACAATACACATCATGATCCAGTTACAATACACATCCAGATTCAGTAGCAAAACACATCCGGATCAGGTTACAATACACATCCAGATTCAATTACAATACACATCAAGATTCACTTACAATACACATCCTGATTCAGTTACAATACACATCCAGATTCAGCTACAATACACATCCACATTCAGTTACAAAACACATCCAGATTCAGTTACAATACACATCCAGATTCAGTTACAAAATACATCCAGATTCAGTTACAATACACATCCAGATTTAGTTCCAATACACATCCAGATTCAGTTACAATACACATCCAGATTCATATACAATATGCATCCAAATTTGATTACAATACACATCCAGATCAAGTAACAATACACATCCAGATTTAGTTACGATACATATCCAGATTCAGTAACAATACACATCCAGATTTAGTTACAATACACATCCAGATTCAGTTACAATTCACATCCAGATTAAGCTTCAAAATACATCCAGATTTAGTTACAATACACATCCAGATGAGTAACAGTACACATCCAGATTCAGTTTCAATACACATCCAGATATGTAAATGTCTAAAACAGATCCCAAATCAAAGGTCAAATGAAAACCCTTCACAAACAAAAAAAAACATAATATTACCATCTACAAATCTATAGGTTCTATTCACACAGAAATTCCAGGAAAACTGGTTAAATAATACTATATTAAAGGTTGTGGAAGGTTATTTTTATTCATCTACAATAACTCCAAGTAAATCAGCAACATTATACCTGTTTCTCTGAATTTTAATCCATTCATGTACCGCAAGAAAAACATTCAAATGAGAAAGGTAAATATGCTAGATATATACTTACTGGAGGTTTGATGAGATGATTAAAGCCGTAAATTTTCTCCTTGACAACATTTATGTACGTTTCAGCAATAATGCTTATCGACAGGCTGTAGGTATTCATTCATATGAGCACCAATTGTGCCCCTATAATAGCAGACTTGTTCCTATACTGTTATGAATCACATTGTATGGCCAAACTCAGTAAAGAACGTCTAAATTCCATTTAATTGATAAATTCAACAACATTTACCGTTATCTTGATGATATTTTTATGGCCCCGCCGTAGCGGAGGGGGCATTAAGTTTTACCCTTGTCCGTCTGTACGTCCGTCCGTACGTCCCAAAATTGGTTTCCGTTCTATAACTTTAGTTTGCCTCAACCAAATGTTATGAAACTTATACACAATGCTTATTAACACAAAACACAGGTCAACTTTGAATTTTGTTGGCGTCACTTTTACCGTTCTAGAGTTATGCCCCTTTACATATGGAAAAAATGATGAATTTTTCGTTTCCGTTCTCTAACTTGAGTTTGCCTCAACCAAATGTTATGAAACTTATACACAATACTCATTACCACAAAACTCAGATCAAATACAAATTTGGGTAGCGTCACTTTTACAGTTCTTGAGTTATGTCCCTTTATAACGTTATACACAAGTGGGGGCATCATCTGTATCCCACGGACACATTCTCCATTTATTTCATTAAATACTCAAGAATTCTCCAAATATACTGATGAAATTTACCCAAAGGAACTTACTTTAAATAAATAAAATATTAACATCAATAACTGTCCTTTCCTAGATTTAGATATTTCAGTGTTACACCAGAAACTCTACGCAAAAATTTACGAAAAAAGGGGTGATTTTTCTTTTCCTATTGTTAATTTTCCTGTTTTGGACGGTGATTTTCCTTTGGCACCGTCCATTATGGTGTTTATATATACCAACTTGTTCGCTATGCCCGTGTCTGTAGTGACGTTTTGGATTTCGATGAGCATAATCTATGTATTACTACGAAATTATTAAGTCAGGGATTTCGTTACCGTGCAAAAATTACTTAAAACCTTTAATAAATTCTTCCATAGATACAAAGATTTGGTTTGCAAGTTTGGTTGTACCTGTAGAAAACTTATTTCAAACAGAAAAGCACATATCAAATTTTACGGTGTGTTGTTAACCAAGCCCGAAAATGTAGATACGATCCGGGTAAATTTATGAATCCTTTAAATAAACTGGTTCTAAAAGGTTACCAATTCAACACTGTATTTGAATATTGTTTTGTTGGTATAAATATTGATTTTGTTATCAGTCTTATCAGTGAATTAAAACCATACTTAGTATTACTGGTATACACATAATGTTCTTTCATGGTAATACAATCTGTCGATACCTATATTTTGGCATTGCACGAGGCCATGTTTTTCTCTGACTGTTAATGACGTCTTTACAATAAATCCATTGGATGTTGGACGTGTACTGATTGATATTTTTGTCTAAGATACATGATTTTTTAAGTTGTTATTGGCTTCGAACTACTAGCTGTCAGTAACTGCGAGTACTCTCAGACCTGTACTTAGTGTCTTTTTTGTTGTTAGGGATGAGGGATGGATAAATATACCCTCCCACGTCCGGTCTGTGTCTTTTGTTTTATTTTTTTTCTGCTTTGTATCGATCTGATGAGTAAAGCCCTTTTCAACTGATTTTTATAGTTTGTTCTTATGTTGTTACACATTCTTTATGTGCCTGTCCCAAGTCAAGAGCCTGTAGTTTAGTGGTCGTTGGTTCATGTCTGTCATGTTTGTCATATTTGTTTTGCGTAAATTGTTTTGTTATAAATTAGGCCGTAATTTTTCTCAATTGAATTGTTTCATATTTTTCATGTCAGTGCCTTTTGTAGCCGATTATACGGTTTAGGTTTTTCTCGTTGTTGAAGGCCGTACGTTTGCCTATAATTCCTTACATCAACTTCATTTGAACTTAGGTGGATAGTAGTCTCATTGGCAATCATACCACATCTCCTTATTTTATATTAAAAGTCATATATCCATTCTTATTTTTAATAGCTCTCATAATTTCTGTGCAAATTTCAAAAAGAAATATAATAAGTAATTCCAGTTCTTATGGTTTTCTCAATTTAAAGTCAAATGAGTCAATATTGTGATTGTCCTTTTCTTGCATGAACACATATCATCATTGGTTTCTCTCCATTCATTCACTGATTCAACAAAATGCCATTGCATTGATCCTAGAATTTTCTCAAAAACATGTACAAAATCCTTAAGTTTTCTACACCAATTCAACAAGGAACCCAAACAAGTGATACATGTACCAGATTCTATGTATTCTTATTATGTATCCGAGGTGATCTCCTTGACCGAGTAGATTTATAACCGCCATTAGCTGCGCTAGTACAGTACTCTTTTATATCAGTTGGTAGTTCGATAATTAAGTGTGGCAGAGACTCCGGGAACGATCCCCAGTGGTACATTGATTAGTTTGGAAGGAAACTAGGAGAGTACACCTTTTAAAATCCGTTGATCGGTTAAGTCAATGTGACATGAGTCCCGGGTACGACACTCATGTGGTACATTGAACAGTTTGGAAGGAAACACCTTTAATAATCCGTTGATGGGTTAAGCCAGTGTGGCAGGGACCCCAGGTACGATCCCATGTGGTACATTGATTATTTTGGACGGAAACTAGTAGAGAACACCAGGTCTTTAATTAATAATTCGTTGATCGGTTAAGTCAGTTTGGCAGGGGTCCCGGGTACGATCTCCATGTGGTATATATATATATATTATACCCTCTAATAAGAAATTTGTTTTGCATGCACACGTATAAAAATTGCGGTTTTTATCCAACGCAATCATAGGTTTGAACGTTGTTTTCAATTTAGACTTGTTTATATTTTTTCGTTTGGGCTTGTATTATATTTGCCTTCGGGTTTATATGATCCGTTCATCCTATTTTGACTCTTCAAAATTCAAGAGTCTATCCTAAATTGAGGTAAATTGTATGGCTTTCCAAATACCGTTTCGATTCCTAACATCACTGAAGAGACATTAATTGTCGAAATCCGGATATGGTGTACAAAAACCTTTGCACCTTTTGTTTGCGGTATACCATCTTTTCCGCAAGTTTATTGTTTTCTGTTTAGTATTTAATTTATAATTAAGATCCATTTATTACATCGGTGATCCGGTCGTTTATTTGGCAATCGCCAATGGCAGTCAGCTGGGTTTAAGAACATTTGTTGTCAAATGCGTTTTGTTAAAATATACTTTTTCACTTTTTTGGTCTTTTGGAAAATGTTGTTTGTGCTGTATTTAGACCCCTCTAACAAGAAATTTGTTTTGCATGCACACGTATAAAAATTGCAGTTTTTATCCAACGCAGACATAGGTTTGCACGTTGTTTTCAATTTAGACCAAATACCGTTTCGATTCCTAACAACACTGAAGAGACATTAATTGTCGAAATCCGGATATGGTGTACAAAAACCTTTGTACCTTTTGTTTGCGGTATACCATCTTTTCCGCAAGTTTATTGTTTTCTGTTTAGTATTAGATTTATAATTAAGATCCATTTATTACATCGGTGATCCCTTTATTTGGCAATCGCCAATGGCAGTCAGCAGGGTTTAAGAACATTTGTTGTTCGACCTGTTAGTCAAATGCGTTTTGTTAAAATATACTTTTTCACTTTTTTGGTCTTTTGGAAAATGTTGTTTGTGCTGTATTTAGACCCCTCTAACAAGAATTTGTTTTGCATGCACACGTATAAAAATTGCGGTTTTTATCCAACGCAATTATAGGTTTGAACGTTGTTTCAATTTAGACTTGTTTATATAATTATGTATCATGATATATATATATAGATTAGTTTGGAAGAAAACTAGTAGAGTACAAATTTAAAATCAGTTAATCGGTTGTTAAGCAGTGTGGCAGAGGCCCCGGGTGCGATCCCTCGTGGTACATCGAATATATTGGGAGGAAAGTCCAACTCGCACTTCGAAAGTCCACCGCTATCATTATAGCTGTCAACTATTTAACAACAATACATTTACACTAGTCTACAATTAGAAAAAAAAAAATGTGCCATTGATTCCCAGGCATTAAATATACTAAATATTATAATTAGGGGACGACCATTTGATATTCTTATAGCCAGAGGGTTTTAAAAATGAATAGTCTGGCATGGTGAGAACTGAAATGAATAAAAATTATATTACCCAAGACAGGATGAAAAGGAATATTCTGCAACAATTAAAGCAGCAATTTGCAGGAATTAGTTTGTACAAGGCATAGACACAATTTTGCTAAGCAAAAAAACGATCCTCGCAAAAGGTGAAAATGAATATTCCGTCAGAAAAAAATCCTGTCGCCTTTTATCTGCTTCCGTCATGGTATCTCCCATTCGATTGTCATAAATTATGTAGCTTTCAAACTATTTTAATCTTTTAGTCCTCTCCTGTTGAAGAGATAGTTTCTCTTTAATTCCCTTATACTTTTTATATTGTTCTTCGTCTTCTGACTTTTAAATAAATACCATTTGTTGAGACAGTTATACAGCTGAGTTCAATAAATATATAAATAAGAAGATGCGACATGATTGCCAATGAAACAATCATACGCGCCAGAGACCATTCTCCTATTTTTTTTAAACGGAGTCGATTCGTTGTAGAGCGGAGAGGGGTCACATTAATGAACGTTTATACCTCTATCAGAAGATTTACTCTGCGTTTTTCTTTATCTTTTTGGGCCATGTTGTCACAGAATAGAAGTTCCTTCATAATATAAGTTCCAAATGGAAACAATATTCTGGAATATTATTTCCACTGGAATAAATATTACAGTAAATGTTCCTAACGGAATAAATGGTATAGAATATTTGTTCCAATAGGAACAGATATTATGACATTGTTTATAACAAAGTTTCCAGTGGAACTTCTGTTAGGCGGAACAAGTATACGTTGACAATGTGAGCTAATCATGCCATTAATTGGCGCCCGTGAGGGTCACCCGTCTGTTGTCTGTAAAGTCTTCATATAACCCTTTTTCAAAACTTTACTCTTCTCTTCTGAAACCACTGAATAATTTCAGAATGTATTGACTTTTTTGTCCCGACAAGAGTCATCTTTGTCTTAACGATGGAAACAATAATAATTTTTTTTATTTCTTAAATGATGGACTTCAGATTTGAAACATATCGAGATCATCATTTCATTCTTTAACAAATTCTCTGCAATAATGAAGGAACAGTTCATGGTGCTGAGTTCTCAGTAACCCTCTTTGAAGCCTACTTTAGTTTTTGTTCTGGGTTCAGTTATATTGGTATTAATGGAGTTATTTCTCTTTATTGACGATTTTTACCAATTTTTCGTGTTTTTAGAAATAAGATGTGTTATGAGTGCCAATAAGACAACTCTCCATCCAAGTCGCAATGTGTAAAAAGTAAACAATTATAGGTCAAAAATAGTATCGATGGATATACAATTTTAAAAGCAAAATTGATCAGCAAGACAAGATCTACAAATACGTCAAAGGGTCGAAATCGTCAGGCTACTCCTTATTTCAGTTCTTGCTCTGTTATGACGTACGGTTTTTACCCTTTTTTTTGCGGTTTTCTGCCTATTACCTTGGAAAATATAAAATGATAGATACACCGAATATCTGATTAAAAGTCAAAAACATGAGAAGCGAACATCCTTAAGGTTCAATATGGTGTATATGATCTATCATTTTAAAACATTTTAACCTCTATCTTAATGCGATATTTAAGTAGTATCTGTTTAATACTTTCTTTCAATCACTCCTTTCACATTATTGCTGTCTTTTCCACCTACTCTATAAGCAGTTTACTTTTTTCCATCTTTCAAAAGACTGCAAGCACCATTATAGTTCCATTTTTTGCTTATTATCTTGCAATTTATACTGATAGATAGAGAGAAACTTGAAATAACAAAACTAATTTGCAAGACAAAAATTATCTATAAACAAGTTAAATTTTGCCAAAGTAAAGCCTACATAGGAGTAATTTCCCTTAAATATCGAATTTTTTTTGTGTATGGGCAAAAAATACAGAAGCCATAGATAAGATGGATAAGATATTTATTGGTGTAAAATCCATACAATCGGATTGCTACTAAATACACGAAATAACTCAAATAAACAATACACAATACTAATATGTACCATTTACCGAAAAAAAAATCTTAGAGAGAAACTGTAAAAAGAAAAAAAGTGATCAGCAATACATGATCAACAAAACAGAGATTTTTGTCAAGAATTCTATTATAGTCCAAGTTGGCAATTGATAGACCAAGGTGAGCGACACAGGCTATTTAGAGCCTCTAGTTATTTCGTCATAGGATGACCTGACCCGATCCTAAGAAAATTTGTGAATTATGATAACATTTTTATATTCCCAAAAAAAATTATAAAACCTTGACCATGTTGACATTTTCTAAATTTGAAGCCAATCCCTTCTACTTCTACTTCTACCGGATAATGGCCACAATCAACAAACTGAATATTTTGCCATGATATTGTTCCCTTTGCGGAAATGAAAAAGCAATACATATTTTCTGTTAGCCAGGACATTGATTGGTTATGACCTCCCGCTTATTAATAGTCTATCTCTATAATCCGAACAACATAGTTCCCTTTCGGGATAAAAACCAGAATTGGTATCTTCAACGTATATATATACTGATACAGATCTTTGGGTCGAAATTCATTGGGTTCAAATTGTCTTATTATTCATAAGGAGAGTCTGATAACCAGAACAAAAACGTTTATTAAATATAAATCCTAATTAAAAATCCTTTTAAATAAAAGTTAATACAACAAAGATATGAGATCGCATGATTTTGATTCTATACTATTCATGACATATTCTGTTGTTTCAATACACCATGATAGGTTGCAGTGGGCGTTTCCATTTGGTTTGTTGGTTATTGGAGCAGACCTTGAAGAAACAAAATAATGACACTGACACAGACACTGTACATTTATCAAGCTGTCCTTCAAATTAATATTAACATGTCCATGGTAAATAGTTATGGGACGTCAAGGATTTCTATAGATCTAACTATAAATTCCTTGGTTTAAGGATTTTTCTGATAGTTTTATTTAAGATTTTTTTACACAGGCTTTGTAATTCATACCGCATGCTCCTTCCCAACCATTGCATATATTACAACTACAAGGATTTGTTTAGTGAGACATTTATCATAAGCATGGATTTGTACTGTTGTATAGTCTTACTATACCAATTTTTGATATAAGGCAATTTGCACCACATTACACTCACCATTCATTGTCTATCAAACTGCTCATTGTTTTTAGCTCACCTGGCCGGAAGGGCCAAGTGAGCTTTTCTCATCACTTTGCGTCCGTCTTCCGTCATCGTCATCGTCATCGTCGTCGTTAGCTTTTTACAAAAATCTTCTCCTCTGAAACCACTGGGCCAAATTTATCCAAACTTGGCCACACTCATCATTAGGGTATCTATTCTAGTTTAAAAAATGTGTCTGATGACCCCGCCAACCAACCAAGATGGCCGCCATGGCTAAAAATAGAACATAGGGGTAAAATGTAGATTTTGGCTTATATCTCTGAAACCAAACCATTTAGAGTAAATCTGACATAGGGTAAAACTGATTATCAGGTCAAGATCTATCTGCCCTGAAATTTTCAGACAAATCTGACAATCTGTTGTTGGGTTGCTGCCCCTGAATTGGTAATTTTAAGGAATTTTGCAGTTTTTGGTTATTATCTTGAATATTATTATAGATAGAGATAAACTGCAAACAGCAATAATGTTCAGCAAAGTAAGATCTACAAATAAGTTGTCACGACCAAAATTGTCAGTCGACCCCTTTAGGAGTTATTGCCCTTAATAGTCAATTTTTAACAATGTTTTGTAAACTTTTGTAATCTTTTACAAAAATCTTCTTCTCTAAAACTACTGAGACAAATTTAACCATACTTGGCCATAATCATTATTAGGGTATCTAGTTTATAAAATTTGTCCGATGACCCCGCCTTCCAACCATCATGCCCGACTTGGTTGAAAATAGAACATAGGGGTAAAATGCAGTTTTTGGTTTATATCTCTGAAACTAAAGCATTTAGAGCAAATCTGACAAGTGGCAAAAATGTTCATCAGATTTAGATTTATCTGCCCTGAAATTTTCAGACGAATCCGACAACCCGTTGTTGGGTTGCTGCCCCTGAGTTAGTAATTTTACAAAAATTTTGCAGTTTTTATACGACCGCAAAAATTAAAAAGGTTCAATACCACAAAAGGAAGGTTGGGATTGATTTTGGGGGTTATGGTACCAACAGTTAAGGAATTAGGGGCCAAAAAGGGGCCAAAAATAAGCATTTTTGTAACTTTCAGACAATAACTTGTGTATAAGTGTATGGATCTCTCTGACATTGTACCACAAGGTTCCATATCACAAAGGGAAGGCTGTAATTGATTTTGGGGGTAATTGCCTCAAAATTTTAGGAATTAGGGGCCAAAAAAGGGGCAAAAAACAAGCATTTTTCTAGTTTCATGACAATAACTTGTGTGTAAGTGTTTGGATATTTCTGAAATTGTACTACAAGGTTCCATATCACAAAGGGAAAGCTGGAATTGAGTTTGGGGGTAATTGCCCGAAACGTTTAGGAATTGGGGGCCAAAAAGGGGCCAAAAATAAGCATTTTTCTAGTTTCCAGACAATAACGTGTGTTTAAGTGTATGGATCTCTCTGAAATTGTACTGCAAGGTACCTTACCACAAAGGGAAGGCTGGGATTGAGTTTGGGAGTGATGAATCATAAGGGGGTTCAAAAAATTTGGGGGGGGGGGGGGATTTTTTTTTTTTTTTTTTTTCTTTTTTTCCTTTTTTTTTTCTTTTAAAATTTTCCATTTTAAGTTGGTTATTTCTGATTTATATTTAAAAGCAAATAACAATGATATGGTAGGAGATACACACCAAACAGGATGTGTAAATTATTATATTATAAGTATTGTGCAATAGCAAGAAATTTTCAATTGCACAGTATTGCACAATAGCAAGAAATCTTCAATTGCACAGTATTGCGCAATAGCAAGAAATCTTCAATTTAACAGTATTGCGCAATAGCAAGAAATATCCAATAGCACAATATTGCGCAATAGCAAGAAATTGTCAATTGTACAGTATTGCGCAATAGCAAGAAATATTCAATTGCACAGTATTGTGCAAAAGAAGATACTTCGTATAAATTGCTTATTTCTTGATCAATTTCAATGGGGTTTTATTCTTGAATTCTTGGGGTTCTTTAATATGCTGAATCTAACCGTGTATTAAGTTTTTGGATTTTGGGCCCCGTTTTTAAATTGGTCCACATTGAGGTCCAAAGGGTCCAAAATTAAACTTTGTTTGATTTCATCAAAAATTGAATTATTGGGGTTCTTTGATATGCCGAATCTAACCGTGTATTTAGATTTTTAATTTTGGGTCCCGTTTTTTAAATTTGTCTACATTAAGCTCCAAAGGGTCCAAAATTAAACTTAGTTTGATTTTAACAAAAATTGAATTCTTAGGGTTCTTTGATATGCTGAATCTAAACATATGTTTAGATTTTTGATTATGGGCCCAGTTTTCAAGTTGGTCCAAGTTGGGGTCCAAAATTAAACTTTGTTTGATTTCAACAAAAATTGAATATATGGGGTTCTTTGATATGCTGAATCAAAACATGTATTAAGATTTTAGATTTTTGGCCCAGTTTTCAAGTTGGTCCAAATTGGGGTCCAAAATTAAACTTTGTTTGATTTCAACAAAAATTGAATATATGGGGTTCTTTGATATGCTGAATCTTACCATGTATTTAGATTTTTTATTTGTGGGCCCGCTATCAAATTGGTTCATATTGAGGTCAAAAGGGTCCAAAATTAAACTTTGTTTGATTTCATCAAAAATTGAATAATTGGGGTTCTTTGATATGCCAAATCTAACCGTGTATTTAGATTTTTAATTTTGGGTCCTGTTTTTTAAATTGGTCTACATTAAGGTCCAAAGGGTCCAAAATTAAACTTAGTTTGATTTTAACAAAAATTGAATTCTTGGGGTTCTTTGATATGCTGAATCTAAACATGTGTTTAGATTTTTGATTATGGGACCAGTTTTCAAGTTGGTCCAAGTTGGGGTCCAAAATTAAACTTTGTTTGATTTCAACAAAAATTGAAAATATGGGGTTCTTTGATATGCTGAATCTAAACATGTATTTAGATTTTAGATTTTTGGCCCAGTTTTCAAGATGGTCCAAATTGGGGTCCAAAATTAAACTTTGTTTGATTTCAACAAAAATTGAATATATGGGGTTCTTTGATATGCTGAATCTTACCATGTATTTAGATTTTTTATTTGTGGGCCCGCTATCAAATTGGTTCATATTGAGGTCAAAAGGGTCCAAAATTAAACTTTGTTTGATTTCATCAAAAATTGAATTATTGGGGTTCTTTGATATGCCAAATCTAACTGTGTTTTAAGTTTTTTAATTTAGGGTCCCGTTTTTTAAATTTGTCTACATTAAGGTCCAAAGGGTCCAAAATTAAACTTAGTTTGATTTTAACAAAAATTGAATTCTTGGGGTACTTTGATATGCTGAATCTAAACATGTGTTTAGATTTTTGATTATGGGACCAGTTTTCAAGTTTGTCCAAGTTGGGTGTCCAAAATTAAACTTTGTTTGATTTCAACAAAAATTGAATATATGGGGTTCTTTGATATGCTGAATCTAACCATGTATTTTGATTTTGGACATTGGACCATAATAGGTAAATTAAAAAAATTGAAGTTCTTAGACCACATTCTTTCTGTGTCAGAAACCTATGCTGTGTCAAATATTTAATCACAATCCAAATTCAGAGCTGTATCAAGCTTGAATGTTGTGTCCATACTTGCCCCAACTGTTCAGGGTTCGACCTCTGCGGTCGTATCAAGCTGCGCCCAGCGAAGCATTTTATTTGTTATTATCTTAGATATCATTATAATATCTAATACTATTAATTATGATTTTAACCTTATTTTACATGATTTCCAAAGCATCAGTAAATACAGGTGAGCGACACAGGCTCTTGAGAGCTTCTAGTTTAATTATATCACTTATGAAAAATAAAAACATAGACACACCACACTGTTATCGGTCTTGAATTATGTTCTTTTATAAATAGAAAAATTGATTAATTTTTCATTCCTTTCTCCAATTTTAATTGCCTCAACCAAATATTATGAAATTTATAGACAATGCTAATAAAACACAGACCATGCAGACCAAGATCGAATTTGGGTGGCGTCACTTTTACAGTTTTCTAGTTATGTCTCTTTATAACGTTATATGCAAGTGGGGGCATCATCGTGTCCCATGGACACATTTTCCATTTTTTTTTTTTTAACGAGTGGAAGAATGCAGTTAGTTTTAAAAAGGTTTATAGATAAATTGTAATTAAGTCTAGGGGCATGTAGTATTTACATTATCACCCTGTAGAAAGGCTTAGACTGAAACTTATTGCAGATACATGTACATGTATTTCCTAATTTGTATTTGCTTACTTATATATCATTATTTATTTTTTTTAGTTTTGCAATATAGGAAATATCAATATGCAATACAAAGACAGCAAAAATTTAATATGGTTATCTGCATGGTTAGAAGTTTAAAGGAAGACCCTTCAGCCTTGTTCTAGTATATATCCATACTAGCCATAGTATGTATTAATTAACTATGGTATGGTATTACACATATGGATGCAAATTTGTTACCCCCTTTGTGGTGTTTAGGATACCGGTACATCAAATGAAAGTCTTCTTCTGGTCCTTCTCTGACTAGGATTACCAGTTTTCCTGCCGAAAGTCTGTGATTCTCTCCAAGCACTCCGGCTTTCTCCTCCAATAAAAACTGGTCACCATGATCAAGCCAAGAAAGCTGAAAGTGGTGTTAAACACCAACAAATCCTCAATCAATCTACAATCTACTGGTAATTGAAATACAAATCATTGATCTGGTGGTAAGACTTCTCGTAAAAGGAGCTGACAATGCTCCATTCTACACAGGCAAATTTCACTCACATAAATTTCATGTGAATTTCACCTCAAACAAGCTTATACGTGATACTCACATGAATTTTTTGCATGTGAATTTTCAAAATAAATTTATTCAAATAACATCTAAATTGAAAAAAAATATGAAAAATACCCTTTTTTTTTTTAAGGTTCACGAGAAATTCACATGAAAATTTTCACATGAGTTTCTGTATAACTTGTTTAAGGTGAAGTTCACATGGGATTCATGTGAAATTCACTTGAGGAAAATTTGCCAGTATAACTTCTGTTCTGACATATATATATATTATGTCAATCAATAAAATTTTGGAACTTTGTATAATTACCACACAACCAAAGGACCCCAAATATGTCTTAACAACCCCTACAGATGGTTTTATCAAAATATTGTTGATGAAGTTGTATCAAAATAAATTGGGAATGCATAGAAAAAGATATAGTTCCTTGTTTCTTCTATCTTTTTTCCATTAAAAACCCACATTTAATGTAATAAAAGAAATGACTAAGCGATGAATTCAAATATAGAAAAATATGCAACTTTTGACCAAACACCACTGACAATAAACTCACACACAACATGCATTCATGAATTAAGGGCATCCGATACAGTTTCATGTTATATTGTCATTTTCATAATTTTGAAATATGTTGTAGCCCTGGAGGAGTTTTAAAAGAAATCATCAAAGCTGTGATATGTGAAAATAAAAGAAACATAAATCCCATCAAAAATTACTAGTTAATTATTCAAGCCACACTTAAAAATACGGATAAGATGCTTGAAGTGGGATATTTCTTTGCCTCAAAATGTGGAAATCGAGAGGTTCTTATAATGTCATTTTTCTGATTTTTTTTACATTAACTGTCTTTTGTCATGCTTTCTCCAAATAGCAAATAAAAAATATATGTCACCGTGCTGGATTCGAAGATAAATCACGATTTATCCTACAAATTGCGTCCCCCCTTGGTAACCTCAACGTTAGCACGAAAATGCACAATGTCGCTGGCTAACAATTTCGACATCTCCCGCCAATTATTCCTGCAAGGTTATCGGCGACATTTTCCAAGTGTTTATATATTGCTTATAAAGAGCTGCATGCCTTAACGGTATAATATTGTTTTGGAAATAAAAAAGTGTGTATCATAAATACCTCTCTCTTTTATTCTGTTCATGTTCCAAGTGAGAAACATCTCAGGTATAGGTATTACGGACTGTTGATTTTTTTTACGGCTTAATTTAAAGACTCACTGCAATTTAAAGCTAGACATGTGGGAACTGTACACAATCGTGTATTGTTGAAGACCATATGTTGACTTCTAAATGTTTTTTGTTTTGGTTGGTGGGATGCTGTTTCATGGACATACCGCCAAAACATCCTTTCATTTACATTTTAATCGCTTTTAATAATTTCACATTTATTCATAAAATCAAACTGTTATTCGGGTGAATGATTATAGTTTAAGAAAACTTTACATTAATTTTGAAATATTTCATAACTTTTGATCTGGCAAAAATGATTCAATTTATATCTGAAAAACGAGACATGTTACCTATACATGTACATGCATCCCTCATAACTTTGGTTTTGGTTTTTGTGTAATTTTTATTCATCTCGCAAATATCCAACATATGCCGTCCGAAATTACAATTTTAAAGCAAGTCACTTAAAGCATTTATAATCTGATTAATATATGTTCAGAGATACCATATAATGTTGTAGAAACCTCAAAGTATAGCTGTGATGATTTTTTAACAGATTTAAAGACCTTTAAAAAAGACTATCAGTGTGTAATAAATTTATCTAAAAATGGCTCTACCTCTTTTGGTTTTGTACTAATATATTGGCATACATTCTCCTCGTAATAACTAGTATTTCATGTTTTTTTTTGTAAAAGTTTCGATTTAAATCAGAATACTTTCATTATAGCGTAATTTTGTTAGTAAATTACTATATATTATTTTTATACAACCGCAAAAAATTTTTTGGGATCGTATAATGGTATGATGTCGTCGTCGTCCGAAGACACATTTGTTTCCAGACAATAACTTTAGTTTAAGTGAATGGATCTCTATGAAATTTTTTTATAAGGTTCAATACCACAAAAGGAAGGTTGGGATTGATTTTAGGGATGATGGTCCCAACCGTTTAGGAATAAGGGGCCCAAAACAAGCATTTATCTAGTTTCAGGACAATAACTTGTGTATAAGTATTTCAATTGCTCTGAAATTGTACCACAATGTTTAATACCACAAGTAGAAGGTTGGGATTTATTTTAAGGGTTATGGGGCAAACAGTTTAGGAATTAAGGGGCCAAAAACAAGCATTTTTTTCTAGATTCCGGACAATAACTTGTGTGTAAGTGTATGGATCTCTCAGACATTGTACCACAAGGTTCCATATAACAAAGGGAAGTCTGGGATTGAGTTTGGGGTTAATTGTCCCAAACATGTAGGAATTAAGGGCCAAAAAGAAGCATTTTTCTAGTTTCGAGACAATAACTTGTGTTTAACTGTATGGATCTCTCTGAAATTATACTACAAGATTCCATACTACAAAGGAAAGGCTGGGATTGAGTTTTGGGGTTATTGCTCCAAGGGGCGTTTCAATAAGTTAGGGAGGGATTTTTTGTTTACAATTTTTTTAAAGGATTCATATTTTTTTTTCAAAATTTTTCAAATTTCGAATTTTTGAAAAGTTTCAAGAAGTAATCTACAATTGCACAGTATTGCGCAATAGATTTGTAAGATCTTTGACCACATTTATTTTGTGTCAGAAACCTATATTATGTCAAAAATTTGATCACAATCCAAATTCAGACAGTATCAAGCTTGAATATAGTGTCCAAATTTGCCCCAACTGTTCAGGGTTCGACCTCTGCGGTCGTATCAGGCTGCGCTCAGCGAAGCATTTTATTAAAAGTTGTATCAACTAATTGCGGCATACCATTATTATTGCATCTTCTCATATTTGATATAAATAAATGGAATACAATATTCCGTGAGGAAATTTACTTCTTTTGAAGTGTTGATGTGGAATTACAATGAATAAAACTGGACGTTTGCGCTATCTGAACTTTCGATATAAAATTTGACACAAATTGATATTGACTTTGTTTGTTACTAAAATGCGCCGTAAAACTATTTGTTGTGTGCTGTCAGAAAATTGGATCCAAATCAAAATTCGATCAGGAATGAATGATAATAAAAATGATAATTGGCATGCATTATGTTAACACTAAAAGGGTCAGTCATCTTTAGATTGTTCACTATACAATATATTGTTGACTTCATTGATCAAGACCTCACAGAACCTTCAAGACGAGGAACAGCAGAAACAGTAATAAGTGTTTAATTTCTTATGATTTTATATATCAAAATGTTAGAATCAAAAGCACTAATCTTGAAGGCATAGAAGTTGATGTGTGTAAGAAACATAAGATGGAGCATCGTTTATACTAAATACCGTTCAAGCGTTTTTTTATTACGGAAAACTAAACGCATGACGTCCCGCCAAATTCGAACGCTTTAACGTTGCGCCAATAGTTAACTCTCTTGAAACTGTATTGGATGCCCTTAATGTGTGTTTGGTCACTCGTTGAATATTTTTCTATATTTGAATTATTCGATTAGTTATTCCATAAATCAGTCAGGGGAATTACTTAAATGAGTGATTAAGAAATCACTGATTCAAGTAACATTTTTCAAGAAATGTTGGAAGTAAGAGAACTTTGTCTTTCTTTAATAATCACCTATTTAAGTAGTACAAATAAATCACTTGACTAAGTGATTTAATTTTATTGTAGCTTAAAATATATGAAACTAATGATCCAGGGACTAATTATGTTGCTAAAATTATCAGAACCAACATCTGTGTTTATAGGATGACCGGTCATGTCAGGTGATGACCTTGTACTGAATCTGAGATAATGACATGAAAATCACTTGTTTAAGTATCATACCTCTAGTTTTATAAAAAAAAAATCACTTCTTTAAGTATTATTATTTTAATTACCCCCACTAATTTCAACACCCCTGAACAGTGAATTTTTGGTCACGAACAGTAAAATTTTATTACATAATCTGTAAGATGAAACCTTGAATTTTACAGGAAAAGTACTCCCACTGCTGGGAAAAATCTGTTAAGAAAGTATTAGATCATTATTGAAAGCTTTATTATAGCATTTTTTTCAACAAATATAGAATTTACAGATGAATGGTTGCATCAATGGCATAAACCTTGCTACTTTAATTTGTTTATAATTAGATATAATCTAAACCTGTATGATTAAAATTTTGATAAAGCTACAAAATTACAGAATTTCTAATTTGCTATTTAAATGAGTGATTAATAAATCACTTATTTCAGTAATTCCCCTGACTGTAAATATCTGTAAATAATAAAGACTGTTCTTCATGTTATAAGTGTATAATAGATAGTAAAATAACCATACATTTTGTAGGTGATACGTGTGATATACTAAGTATAAAATGGATGAAGTAATCAGTGTTTCTGTACCTGGATATAAAGATCAAGTATTTCACTCACTGCATCAGTTACAGCAAAGGGGAGTTAACTGTGATGTAACACTTCAGGCAAGTGATGGAACTGCATATTTACACAGTATTATCCTAGCAGCAAATAGTGAAAAACACATCTACAGAAAAATATCACGGACCAATGAAAACCATCAAATTGACTGTACTAAATATAGAATTCATGTAATTAAAGCTGTGGTGATATTTTTATACTCTGGAGAATTAGTTATTGAAAAAAGTTTTTATGATGATCTTGTAAAACTCTGTAAAGACTTATATTTAAGCTCTGCATGTAATTCATTCAATCACCAGTATCAAGTTACAAAGATACATCCTGGTGCTTATGATAAAGATGGTGTCAAAGAGAAAACAGTTTTTAAAAGAGAACCATATATTCACTCAAATAATAGTAATGCATCTTTTGAAAGCACCAGTACAATTCCTTTAGAAAATGATGATATTCCAGTTACACCAAAGAAAACAGTCAGCAGAGGTGACAGTTTGTACCTGAAGGTGACTGATCTTAAAAATGATCAGGAAACCAGTAGTGATGAAAATAACATGGAAACCAGTTCAGTTGAAAATGGTTGCACCAATGACTCTAGGCCCTCCAGTTCTTCTCTTGGTGAAAACCTTATAAATCAGATAGAAAACATTGTCATGCAATGTGTTGATAATGAAAAAAAAGAAAAAAAAGGAAATGTATTTCCAGAGTTAACTATGGATAATGATAGCTTGCCTGATTACGTTGAAAATTCTGAAAAATCTGACAGTAAATCAAAATGTGCAGTAACAAAAAGTCCAAGCTTTAATCAAAACAATACACCTTTAGTTAGACATGTTAGGAAGGGTACTAAAAGGTCTTCTGGTTCATTAAGTTCAGATAAAAAGGAAAAGACAACTAGAAAAAAGAAAAAGACATCATTAAATAAGAAGAGAAAAGTAACGGAGGTTATTAAAAATAATAAAAGCCAGAGAAAAATGGACAATAATGAAGATGCCAAAGATCAGGACTACGATATGACTGAGGACACAACAAACCTTAAACCAAAAAAGCAATGGAAGTGTACCAAGTGTAATCTAATATTTCAGTCATTTTCAGAACGAGCAGAGCACATGAGGAAGCTTCACAAACCATATCCTTGTGAACTGTGTGATTGGGTGGGCGTTCAGCCACATCTGTATGCCTCACATATGTATGGTCAACATAAAGTTGTTATATACTCTGAAAGATATCCATTGGTTCAGTGTGATGTTCAGGTATGTTCATACATGTGAGGTCAACATAAAGTTATTATATACCTAGAAAGATATCCACGAGTTCAATGTGATGTTCAGGTATGTTCATGCATGTGAGGTCAACATAAAGTTATTATGTACCTAGAAATTAAAGATACATGTATCCATTGGTTCAGCGTGCAGTTCAGGTATGTTCAAACGTGTGGGGTAACATAAAGTTGTTATACACTCATAAAGATATCCATTGGTTCATTGTGATGGTCAACATAAAGTTGTTATATATACCTAGAAAGATATCCATTTGTTCAGTGTGATGTTCAGTAATTATGTTCATATATGTATGGTCAACATAAAGTTGCTACATACTCAAAATGGTATCCATTGGTTCATTGTAATGCTTAGGTGTGTTCATACATGTGAGGTCAACATAAAGTTGTTATATACCTAGAAAGATATCCATGAGTTCATTGTGATGTTCAGGTATGTTCATACATGTGAGGTCAACATAAAGTAATTATATACCTAGAAAGATACTTGAATCCATTGGTTCAGTGTGATGTTCAGGTATGTTCATACATGTGAGGTCAACATAAAGTTATTATATACCTAGAAAGAAATCCATGAGTTCAGTGTGATGTTCAGGTATGTTCAAATGTGTGGGGTCAACATAAATTTGTTATACACTCAGAAAGATATCCATTGGTTCAGTGTCATGTTCAGGTATGTTCAAATGTGTGGGGTCACCACAGAGTTGTTGTATTCCATTGGCTTACTTGCAAATTCAGTTAAAGATTCCTATGTTAAAGTGTTAGAAGAAAGTATTTCATAATGAACTGATTTAGTAGTGAGTCTAATTTTAGTAATTTTGAAATTCTTTTGTATGATATTGTATTGTATTTGTCGTACAAAATAATTGAATTTATTGTAAGGTTTTTTCAGCTCACATGGGGCATTTGAGCCATGTATAACGCTGTTGTAAAAAAACTACTTGTTGCCAAGATATTATAGTTATCTGTTGGTAGTAGGTGTACAAAATTATATGCCTGGTATCTTTGATGAGCTTTTGCCAGTAAACTACATGACCTCCATATATGTTGGCTAAATGAATATAAATATTCTTACTATCGTAATTGAGTTTACATATATACATGATATAGTAATCTTAGTATTTTTCCTTCTGTTAATTTTGCAGGGATGTGCATATAAATGTTTGAATATAAATATGAAAGATCATATGAGATGTCATAAGTATAAAAAAGAGAAGTTAGTATGTCATGTTTGTGGAATGGAGTTCACATCAGAAGGAGGCTTGCGTGCTCATTCATCGTACCATAAAGAAGAAGAAATGAAGTTTAAATGTAAAGAATGCGATAAAGTGTTTGGATGGAAACATGAACTAAGTGTAAGTGAAAATATCATTTAGTCAATTAATTGTTTCGGTCTATTTTATGGACAATTCACAAGTGTTGGTTATATTGGTGAAGCATTATTTTATACATCAGATGAGTAATAGATAGAAAACTGACATAATTGTCATATTTGTTTTTCGTAAATTGTTTTGTTATAAATTAGGCCGTTAGTTTTTTCAATTGAATCGTTTCATATTTTTAATGTCGGGGCCTTTTATAGCCGGCTATACGGTATGGGTTTTTCTCATTGTTGAAGGCTGTAGGGTTGCCTATAATTGCTTACATTCACTTCATTTGGACTTTGGTGGATAGTTGTCTCATTGGCAATCATACCACATCTCCTTATTTTTATATAAAGAGGTATATAGAAAACTGACACAAAGAGGTCTCTGAACACAATAACTCCAATGGGGCTTTCGTTAGTTGAAGCCAAATTAATTATGTGCATCAACGGAACAAAATTATGAAAATATTTTGTCATTGAGCTTTTAATACCCAATCCATCATGTCTATGAAGAAGAGTTTAATATGTCTTATACCTGTCAGTCTGTCGTTTTATATTCATAAATATTGGTTTCTGGATGATAACTCTAGAATAAAATACAGAATGAAAACGAGGAATGTGTCAAAGAGACAACAACCCGACCAATGAGCAGAAAACAGCCCAAGGCCACCAATGGGTCTTCAACACAGCGATAAAATCCTGCACCCGGACTTCACTTGGATTAGAATCAAACTTGGATGTAGTTGGTCACATAAAGTGGTAAAGAAAGGATATGATATATTAATTGATTATGCAAAATCTGTACACACACACTTGCCATTTTTACCAACAGCAAACAGTACTTTTATTGCTGTTCTTCATCTCAAAGTCACATTGAGGTCTTCAACATGGAGAAAAAAGCTCACACCTCACTGCAAGTTCAAGATGGTTTCTAGTACCATTGTGGGTAGATTTCTTTAAGGTCAAGGTCAAAGATACTGAAAATAGACAAATCAGTGCTGTAAAAAGAATTCAACATGATATATATATATATATAGAGAACAGTTGTTGGAGTTAAAAACTCAAACTGGTTATAGGGTCAGTCACAAATAAGGGGGGAAACTCCTATTAATTATGAGTTCAACATGTCCAAGGAAAATGTGATTGGAAACAAACTTGGGTACATGGTCATATATACCAGAAAGATCTATAATGAATTTGTGGATATATAATTGGTCCTAGTTCAAAGTCTTGGATACTGAAAAAAAATGCAACCACCCACAATTTTTAATTTGAAAGCCTCCCACCCCCAATTTGTTAAAATCTGGAACAGCCCTTACCTAAGTTTACCATTTCATGATTTAGTCAATTTCTTACATATGTTTCAGTTTTAATGTGTAAGTTCCTAGTTTCCTCTGAGTTTTGCATTCAACGTTTTTTCTTCATTTTATATTCACATTTAACATGTTTAATGCATGAATTACATAAGTTTTTGCTTCACGTTGAATGCATGAGTTACATTGGTTTAAGCTTAACACCTAATTCTTTGTTTTACAATTGATGCATGAGTTTCCTAACTTTATTGTCACGGCAATGCTTAAATTTTTTTAACTTATACTTAGGTTTTTAGGCAAAGTTTGACATATAAGGCTCAAGTTTTTTTTAGCCAAGATTCACGTTTAATGCTTTAATATCCCAGCTTATACATACAAAGAACAAAAAAGAAAAAGTGCTTTGGTTGCCATTAGATATGTAGGTCCATATATTACATGTATGACATTTGCATGGAATTAACATTATCAACAAATTAATTACTCTTTTGTGAATTTTGTCAAGTTTTGCATTTATATAAACAGTTCATTCATTAGACAAGCAGTAATTTTATCAAACATTTATACAATACATGCTTTTTTATCTGCAAAGGGAATGAAATTGCACCCATTGCACCCCTGGCTACAACCTTATACTAATTTACATATTAAGAATATTTGATGTATCTGCACAGAATATTGTTGTTTGTTTTTATTGTAAATCATGCCAGTGACATACATGTATTTTCCTTATTTAATTTCTCAGAAACACCTGACTGCTGAACATAAAACACACAATCTTTGTCACCTGTGTCCATTCAAGTCAAAGAATAAGACATCACTGATTGTACACCTCCATAATAAACATGCAGAACCTATTCCAGAGAAAATGAAAACGTAAGTTTAAAAAAAAGCAGTTGATTAAATGAGGATCAAAGGCAAAACTGGGACAGTTGTCAATGAAAAGGTAACCTTACAAAAATGAACCTTCAAAGGTCACAAGGTCAGTAAAATGTGAATCAAAGGAAGAATGGGACAATTGTCAATGGGAAGGTAACCTTACAACCATGAACTTTAAAAGGTCAGTACAAGGTCAGTAAAATGTGAATCAAAGGGAAAATGGGACAATTGTCAATGGAAAGGTAACCTTACAAAAATGAACCTTAAAAGGTCACAACAAGGTCAGTCAAATGTGAATCACGGGGAAAATGGGAAAATTGTCAATGGGAAGGTAACCTTACAACAATAAACTTTAAAAGGTCACTACAAGGTCAGTAAAATGTGAATCAAAGGGAAAATGTGACAGTTGTCAATGAGAAGGTAACATAACAACAATGAACCGTAAAAGGTCACTCACTACAAGTGCAGTAAAATGTGAATCAAAGGCAAAATGGGGCATTTTTTAATGGGATTAGGTAACCTTACAAAAATGAACCTTAAAAGGTTACTGCAAGGTCAGTAAAAAATATTCCTTTCATGCTGATCTTAAGCAGTTTGTTATTTTGGTAAAAGTTGTTGCCAAAGATACTGTAAACAAACTTATTTTTAACAAGTTATTTATTGAGGGGACTTTCCATCGATAAAATATTGTCATGAACAGTCAAACTTCCATTTTTAGTGCCCTACTGACGAAGTCGAAGGGGACTTTAGGTTAGCACTCTGTCTGTCTGACTGTCTGTCTGTCTGTCTGTCCATCCGTCAGTCCGGCAAATCAGTTTTCCACACTTTTTTTCTTCTTGCTTGAAGATATTGATTTGATATTTATTGTATTGTTTTATCATGACAAGTTACAGATCAAGTTCGAGTTTTGTTCCGGTCTGATGATTTTATGCAGAATTATGGTCCTTTGACTTAGAAAATTCACTAAAATAATCAGTTTTCCGCACTTTTTTTGTCATTCTTGAAGATATTGATTAGAAAATTGGTATAAAGTTTTAGCATGACAAGTTACAGTTCAAGTTTGAATTTTGTTCCGGTCTAATGATTTTGTGCAGAGTTATGGTCCTTGGACTTAGAAAATATACTTAAATAATCAGTTTTCAACACCTTTTTTCGTCATGCTTGAAGATATTGACTTGATACTTGATATTTGTTATATAGTTTACACCATGACAAGTTATAGATCAAGTTAGAATTTTGTTCCAATACAATGAATTTTTAACCGGTAGGGGGACTATGTATTGCCATGCAATACTCACAGAATGCTTGTTGATATATGAGTTCATCAACAAAATTTAGAAAATCCTATAAAACATTGCAATGAAGTTGACTAGAAAGGCCTAACCATGAAACAAGTATCCTAGAAAATAATTAGGTTTGCAGTAACCATTGGTTTAACAGTATCCTGTATGGGATGAACCTGATATCATGATTAATATCATGATGTTAATATTGAGATTCTGTATAAAATTTGTTTGTGAATGATAAAAATGTTTTGACATTATATTTTTTTTCTTTTGTTTTTCAGGTATAAATGTGATATGTGTGATTTTTACTGTTTTTATCCAAGTTATCTAAAAATACACAAACAAGAAAGTCATTCAGGTAAACTTAAATTGAGTTAGTTCTGTGAGCACATTGCATTAATTATTAACATTGAATATTTTTCTTAATACACAAAGTGATGGGCTTAAATATAAATAAGAAGATGTGGTATAAATGCCAATGAGACAACTATATATCCATCCAAGCCACAATGTTTAAAAAGTAAACAACTATAGGTCAAATTATGGCCTTCAACACAGAGCCTTGGCTCACACCAAACAGCAAGCTATAAAGGGCCCCAAAAAGACTAGTGTAAAACAATTCAAGCAGAAACCAATGGTCTAATCTATATAAAAAACGAGAAACGAGAAACACTTATGAACCACACCAAAAAACGACAACCACTGAAAAACAGGTTCCTGACTTAGGACAGGTGCATAAAATTGCAGCTGGTTTAAACGTTTTACCAGGCGCCAACATGCTTGTAATAAAACATTTAATACTTCATTCAATTTGATAAAAGTGCAGATCCTGTGTCCACATTTCCTGGATCTGCTATCACCAATCAATTAATCAATCCTGGATCTGAAAACACTTCATTCTACTTTCTGTCTTAAGTACTTTTTAGCTCACCTGGCATGAAGGGCCAAGTGAGCTTTTCTCATCACTTGGCGTCCGTCGTCCTTCGTCTGTTGTCGTTGTTAGCTTTTTACATAAATCTTCTCCTCTGAAACCACTGGGCCAAATTTAACCAAACTTGGCCACAATCATCATTAGGGTATCTAGTTCAAAAAATGTGTCTGATGACCCCGCCAACCAACCAAGATGGCCGCCATGGCTAAAAATAGAACATAGGGGTAAAATGTAGATTTTGGCTTATATCTCTGAAACCTTAGCATTTAGAGTAAATCTGATACAGGGTAAAACTGATTATCAGGTCAAGATCTATCTGCCCTGAAATTTTCAGACAAATCTGACAACCTGTTGTTGGGTTGCTGCCCCTGAATTGGTAATTTTAAGGAAATTTTGCAGTTTTTTGTTATTATCTTGAATATTATTATAGATAGAGATAAACTGTAAACAGCAATAATGTTCAGCAAAGTAAGATATACAAATAAGTCGACATGACCAAAATTGTCAGTCAACCCCTTTAGGAGTTATTGCCCTTTATAGTCAATTTTTCGTAAATTTTTGTAATCTTTTACAATAATCTTCTTCTCTGAAACTACTGAGACAAAGTTAACCATACTTGGCCATAATCATCATTAGGGTATCTAGTTTAAAAAATGACCCCCGCCTTCCAACCATCATGGCCGACTTGGTTAAAAAAAGAACATAGGGATAAAATGCAGTTTTTGGTTTATATCTCTGAAACTAAAGCATTTCGAGCAAATCTGACAGGTGGCAAAAATGTTCATCATTTAGATTTATCTGCCCTGAAATTTTCAGACGAATCCGACAACCCGTTGTTGGGTTGCTGCCCCTGAGTTAGTAATTTTACAGAAATTTTGCAGTTTTTGGAAAATGACGCTGTCAAAGCGTCAATTTTACTATACCATTGACCAGATTTCATTTTATCGCTTCCGGTCGCTTCCAAGCCGCCTTCCGAACTTGGTTCCGTATTTTATATAACTATGTCCTGTACAGAATTTCATTCTTAACCTGTCCATAAGTTTGTTGTTATTAAATGGTATTTTGAGCTATCCCTTCGGTATATTTTTCATATTTATAAGAGCTTTCGCCTTTTTGTACATGACTTTCCATCCGTAAAAAATCAGAATATAAATAGATCCGTATTGTTATGTTTTTGGACTTTTTACAAACCAATGATAACAAATCGCTATCGCTAGAAAATAGTTCTTGAAAGAATGTTTACCTTTCTTGTCAGCTGAACTTTGAAATCATTCAAAAAATAATAATCGGAATCATCTTGAAAACATACGAAAGATAAAGATTTAAGAAGTTTTTAAGAATAAAAAATTAGTAATACGGTTATATCCACGTGGTGCGTATGTATTTGTAAGTTACTGCTGCAGACATAATATAGGTCAAATATCGCAGGGGCCTGTTCTATTAAAGAATACAATGGCGATAATTGCAGAAGTTTTCCTGTCAAAAAGACTTTATTTCTTTCTGGATTTCTTCACTTTAAAAAGAATATAAGATGCAGATACTTTATGAAAGGAGTAGGCAGGTCTCAATGAATCATACCAAAAGTATTTAAGGAAAGTTTTACCCTTTCTCTGACAACGTGGTCTCGTCCATTTTTGAAACATTACGATTATTTCATTACTTTTTCGAGTTAACAACTAAACTATTGAACCTGTATTGTTTTGAGAAAATTATTCCCGTTGTCCGGGTGTTCATTACAAGCCCGTATTTTAATCGGATACGAAAATTTCTTGAAAATAAATAAAAAGTATTGAGATTTGCCATCCACTTTTCAATAACTATTAATTAAATATTAATTTAAAATCAATGTTAACTGTGGATGACTTGGATAAGGAATGGCATTTAATGATTCCTAGAGATACAGCAAAATGTGTAAACAGAAAGTTGTGAAGGGAGACAATTTCAAAAGTGCTAAAACAAGTATTGTCAAATCTTGTAAAATATTTCTGGTGGCAATATTTCACATATTCATAAAATAACCATACACAACTTTTAAAGGTGGTTGTTATATTTCAATTGGCAAACATTTATTTATTGATAACCCACCTTTAATAATAAAAAAAACTTCTTAAAAAAAAAATTTCTCTCATATTTATCTTGGAATATGATAAAATATGTTAGCCTATTTAAAACATGCCTTTAATAACATTTCAGTACTTCAGAAAGAGTTATTCCATTTCTTCCTTTGATATTTAAGGATATACCAATTTTAATTACAAATTTGTAATTTGATAAATGTTAAAAAAATTAATGAAGAAATTCCAATTTTGTCATTGTAAACCTTCTTAAATATGTGTATAAGTAAATTATGAAGCTGTAAAGGATATATATCTAGTTTATAAGTCAAACAACTGAAAGTGAGAAAAAAAGATATAGCTACTGTGCTACATTTTGTGACGGGTGGTAATAAAATCAAATTATTTAAGTTATCTAGGCATTTTAATTTGTAAAGTTTAATTAATAATTGAAATGTCACTTATTTGCATTTCAGTTAATGCACATGGCACATGTATAAAAAAATCCAGGTCTTTGTCTATTCAATAAAATAAAACTAACATGGTAGTTATAAATAAATGTAACATCAAGTCACAAACATGAAACTTAAGGTGAATCAATCTTAAATCGGGCGCTAATACCACAGCGCTATAAAAGAAATCCTGGGAAGAATACTGGATTGTATTGCTCTCCGAGTTATATAATACACCTTGCCTAAGAAAAAGGTCTAGCTAGGTCCTTAAAAAAAATAAGGCTATAATGATGTAAAGTGACTTATAAATGCCAACAGCCACATTATTTAGACTCTGGTGGATAGCTAGCTAGTTATCAGACTGTTATCTCATTGGCAATCATGTAACCACATCTCCTTATTTTAGTATGGGTTAACTATTTGAAATAAATGACTCACAAACATTAAATCATTTGAGAAAAAGATAATTCTGCAATAATTTATGTTGTCATTTAAAGATTTCAGTTTATATATATATAAATATCAACAATGAAAATTTGTTTAAATGGTGTCACTATATTTGTAATTGTCAAACTGGTATAACAATACTATTGTCTAAATCTACAGAATTTGATCATCCTTTAAGTAACAGAAATAACAATGTCACTAAGTCACTTGTAACTTATCTCTTAAATAAGGACTATGTGGGGTTTAAGTGCTTGCTTACTGCAGGCTCTTCATCATCATTTTGTTAAATAATTCTAAAAAGAAGGGGATAGTCTGTTAATGTATCCCTGACTAAGAATAATCAAATTGCAAGAAACAAATTCACATATTACTTTGAATATTGTAGATCATTCAGGTAGTCTTGAGCTATTTCTTTATACAAAAGAAACAACCAGTATATAAATATAGTCATGTTACACCACTGTCCCAGGTAAGGGAAGGGTTGGGATCCCGCTAACATGTTTAACCCCACCACATTCTGTATGTATGTGCCTGTCCCAAGTCAGGAGCCTGTAATTCAGTGGTTGTCGTTTGTTGATGTGTTACATATTTGTTTTTCGTTCATTTTTGTACGTAAATTAGGCCGTTAGTTTTCTCGTTTGAATTGTTTTACATTTGTCATTTCGGGGCCTGTTATTGCTGACTATGCGGTATGGGCTTTGCTCATTGTTGAAGGCCTTACGGTGACCTTTAGTTGTTAAATTCTGTGTCATTTGGTCTCTTGTGGAAAGTTGTCTCATTGGCAATCATACCACATCTTCTTTTTCATATTCACTTCACACATATATATATATATATATCTTGACAAACAAATAAAAAAGCCATAGACATTGAAAATAATTAATTTCTATTCTATTGTCAGTCAGCATACCTACCATGAACTGAAAAGTCTCTTAAGATTCAGTAGGTTAATTATGTGAAAATCAAGACTTGCATCAAAAATATCCCAATATTAGAGACAATGGCGTCATTTTTCCTCAGAGCTTTCAGCTCTTTGATTATACATTATCTTAGATACCATTAAAATATCTAATATCTAATACTATTAATTATGATTTTAACCTTATTTTACATGATTTCCAAAGCATCAGTAAATACAGGTGAGCAACACAGGCTCTTGAGAGCCTCTAGTTGTGATACTCAGGTTTTTTTGTAATGATGCACACCTTCAAACATTTGGAGGAAGAGATTTCATTGGTTGATATAAAATTTATCAGAACAGAAAGTAGAACTGAGTGTAGTCAGATTCTCGTAAGCAAAGCCTGGACACAGGATCTGTATTCAATCATGTTCAAATAAATTTGAATTTAATTGCAAGTTTTCCTTTGTGATTTTTTTTTTAATATTAATTACATAATTAGCACATAATATTTTAAATCAAACAGTGTATCAGTATTAACCATAAATTTATGTGAATTTCTTTGGTACATATTATTCAAATATCAGTTGTTTTCTTGAATCAACAATTTATTAAACAAAAAACAAAGAACAAGAGAATGTAATAAAACTATATGTACAAAAAAGAATGTAATAAATAAACATTTTGATAAGATCATAATTGAAAGAGCTCATTATTTTTGTAATTTTCATAATATATAATGTGATAAAATTGTTGTTTATGAGGTTAATATGAAAATAAGAAGATGTGGTATGATTGCAAATGAGACAGCTCTCCACCTATTATGTGTCGAGTTGTATCCATAAACAAGCCATTGTACATATGTTATGACTATTTAGCAAAATCCACCTTGTAACAATCTATAGAAAATAACAGAATCAGAATTTAAAAGGATCAAATGCCATAGTAAAGACTAAAAACTCTCACAGTATAAAATGTATCTATGAGACTGTTCGAATACCGGTATATAGTGACTAGCTGCTTGCAGTAGAAAATTAACAACGTACCTGTTGAAACACATGACAACACATGCAAGTAGTTGTAATGACACTATTTGACATAAAGAGATGTGATATGATTGCCAATGAGACAACAGAGTTCAAAATGAAGTGTATTTGAGCTACTATATATAAAAACAAGAAGATATGGTATGATTGCCAATGAGTCAACAATCCACCAGAGACCAAATGGCATATAAGTTAACAACTATAGGTCACCGTACGGCCTTCAACAATGAGAAAAACCATACCACATAGTCAGCTATAAAAGGCCCAAAAATAACAAATGTAAAACAATTCATACGAGAAAATTAAAGCCTGATTTATGTACAAACAATGAACGAAAAACAGATATAATATACAGCAACAAACGACAAGTAAGACTATTCCTATTTGACTTCTAGCAATGAATGATAAACATGTTTAGGTAAGGAATATATAACTCATGTTTTCTTTCTGTAGATTCCATGAATTTCCAATGCAATGTTTGCCCCAAAAAGTTTAAAAGTAAGAAAGCTTTAAGAAGTCACTGGGACTGTGCCCATAGTTGTAAGTATATGTAGGCGTTTTTCTAAGATAGTTATAGTGAGGCACATATTTTTAAGGGGATGGAATGTTTAATTTTACATATTGCTAATCTGGCTTATTTATTTTGTACCGCCAAAAAAACAAACATTTTCACATATGTGCACCAGTTTTTACTACATTGTCCTAAATTTCTGGGGGGCAGAATATTCATTTTCATCCTGTCTTGGGCATAGTTATTTTTTCCCTGCTATTACCAGGCCAGAATATTCCATTTCCCGAATCCCCATTTTGATTTTTTATGAGAAAAATTCAACAGGGATGAATAGCTGACAAAAATATTTTGATTTTTCTAACGTTTAGGCTAGATAGATTTAAAACAATCCATAATACTGTGAAAGTACTTTTATTCGTGGGGAACCAATTTTCATGGTTTTCATGGATGACTTTATCCACGAATTTAAGTGTCCAACGAAATATAACAACTGTTGTTCAAATCAAGACATGAAAGATCCCAATGTAGGTTTGACTAGATGGATACGGGCATGCCATATAATCTAGAGAATACTTCGAATATCGGCAAATGCACTATGTTCTACAACTGCAGGCAGGATTATTACCCATTTAATCTTAAAAAAACCTAAACTGTACGACTTCTAATCTTTTAATTCTCATTAAAAAATATTTTTGAACGATGAAAGTCAGATTTCCAGTGATGATATGCAATGATGAAGTGTTCATTTTATATCCACATAATTCTCATATAGAAAATAATAATTTCATATTGGGCTTGCTTTTGATAAGAATTAATTTTACAATTCAAGGTACATCTATAGCATTTTTTTATGTACAGTTTTCTTTAAGTGACATGTTTATGACCCAATTAACACCTTTGATGGTCTTTAATCTGTTGATCTAGATCTCAGGTTTATTAGTGTCATCACTTCTGATTACATGTGTGCAACAATTCAAATGTTTACTTTGCAATTTCCATCAATCGAGACAGTTTGTAAGAATAGATGAATCAGCTTATTTCCGAAAGCAATTATTTTATTTCAAATTTGTTGACTATTGTCAGTTTTTAAAGACGACGAACAAGTAAGTGAAAATGAACACGTACTCATTTTGCAATGTCCACAAATCATTATAAAATAACATATGATTATTATAAATAATCTTCGTTTCTGATAGCTTCAATTCTTCACTCGATTTGTTTTTTTCTTTAGAAAACTAAAATCCATGAATTTAAAAACCCAAGAACATGCAACTTTTGCTCAAACCACGAAAATTAATACTAACGAATTAAAGTACTTTCACAGTACCAGTTGAGTTTTGGAGACAGTTATTCAATAAATCCTACCATTATGTTTCAGCAAATTTTTACAAATGTGACAAGTGTAGTTACACAACAAGATCGCAGACGACACTACAAATTCATCAACAGAGTACACATTCTGTAAGTATTTTAGTTGCTATGGCCAACAAGTGAAGTTACTCTGCAAGATCAAAAACATCACAACCAATTCATAATTTGTAAGTACATATGTACTTGATTGGTTGTTAGGGGGTAATTATATATATACATAATCAGGGTAATTACATTATAAGATCATATATTTTCATAAAATTTCATCAATCAGCAGAACGAGTAAAAAACAACTGTCATATTCCTGACTTGGTACCAGGGCTTCCAAAATTATTTTTAGCCAGCCGGACATTTTATATATTATCCCGATTTTAATCCCTTAAGACTAAATAAACAAAAGGCAATTATGGTAATCAGTTGCAGAGTTGGCCATCCCAATGATTGACATTAAAAAAAACGATATTAAACTTTCTTTGATTCAAATTCGAAGTTCTGATGTAAACTGTTAAATTGGCAGTGCATCATTCGAAGTGTGCAACATCAGCGTACTTATATCTGCCTTAGACTCTTTATTTGTGCAAAATAACGTTGTCAAAAACTTTACTTTCGTTTTTATACCGGATGTTATCTTGACAATGGTAAAACATGGACCAGAGACGGATACGTAAATTCCGTGTACGTTTGCAAAGCATGAATGAGTGGAAGTAGCTCTTTCTACGTTATTTCTTCAAGAAAATATTCGAAATAAACGTGAGATAAAGGTATCAATGACAATTTAAGCATTTTTTGAAGAAATTAGGATGCATAATTAAATTTCACACCTGCGCACATGCGCACACGTGTACTAGTTCAATGATCATGTCACTTTTATGACCGGAAATGTGTGGCTGTTAAAGGCAAAACTTTGGGTCAAAAAGATCGCGAATTATGTTAAAATGACCGTCTCTTAAAGCCTTGAAAACTAAAAAGTAGATGACCGTTTCATGCTTTGCCCAGCCGGACTTTTACCGGACATTATACAAATGTCCGGCATATATGACCGTTTTGGAAGCCTTGCTTGGTACAGGTATTTTATAAAGAAAATGGTGGGTTAAACCTGATTTAAAAGCTTGCTAAACCACCCACTTGTATATCAGTTGTTTATAGTTCTGTTATATTGACAAAATTGGGTGAGCAACCCAAACAGACATAATAGATTAATGTGACAATAATTTGGATCCAGCAGCCAAAATTGTGTAAACATGCATGAAAACTGACTAAAAAATTCAAACAAACATACAAATAAATCGAACAAAGATGCCAACAAATTCTTTTTTTGTAGTTGACAGTATATTAACCAAGTTGCAGATAAAAACGTTTTTGTGGTTTGATAGTACATAGTGACTACATATCGTATATAGTATACACTTTCTTGATAAAGTACAAATTAAGTAAAATGTAAATACAAGGGTCAGCAAAATGGAAACAACAATGTAAATAACTTCTTCAGTCTTCTGACTGAAACGCTACTCAGGAAAATAAAGGGTATTTACACTACAAAGTCATAGACTACACTACACATTTCATGATTCTGTAAGTACTGTCATAGATCAAACTTATTCGTTCAGTGTATATTTACTTGTTTTTGTTAATTGTCTTTTTGATTGAGTTAAGCCATTTCAATTGATATTTTATTGTGTGTCTTTTTAAGTTTGTAATGTTATACTGTTTCAGGTTAGCGTGAAGGTTGGCACCTCTTAAAATGAATGTTTAAACCCGCTGCATTTTATGCACTGGTTCTAAGTCAGGAGCCTGTTGTTCAGTTGTTGTCCTTTGTTGATGTGGTTCATAAGTGTTTCTCGTTTTTTTATATAGATTAGACCATTGGTTTTGCTGTTTGAATTGTTTTACACTAGACTTTTTGGGGCCCTTTTTAGCTTGCTGTTCGGTGTAAGCCAAGGCTGTGTGTTAAAGGCCGTACTTTGACTTATAATTGTTTACTTTTTACACATTGTGACTTGGATGGATAGTTGTCTCATTGGCACTCATACCACATCTTCTTATTTATTAGGGCCCCGCCGAATGGAGGACGCCCTATAGTGATCAGTCCATCCGTCTGTCTGTCTGTCTGTCTGTCATGTATATTAACCAACACCAGAGGGTGTGTCATAATGTATGTACAACTTCCTAGGTCAAAGGTCAAGGTCAAAAACTTTAAATTTCATTTGACAACCCCATGTCCAATGATAAAGATTACAAATTTTTTACCACACATTATTCACAGCAGGGCCCACAGAGATGGCTCCCATCTCAATGATATCTAGTATTGTTCTGTAGTTAAAGATGATTTGTGTAGTTTAACTGAAAAATAATGAATGAAACAATGCATCTATTCTAAAACACTACAAGATGATAGACTACACAAAACATTGATCAAAAGAAAATCAATTCTGAGAGTATTTGATTATTTGGTGATGGTAGTAAGTAAAGTTGCAGAAGCATACATGCTTTGTTGTGACCTTACCCAAAGTCAATTTTTTTAATACAAAATATTTAAACATGTCTAGTGCTACCTTTTTTATGTAAGACGATCAATACATAGCTTGTACACAGTTCTGACAGTAGTTGGTTGGTTCAGTTTAGGTCTGACAGTAGTTGGTTGGTTCAGTTTAGGAATTTAAGCTCAGTTTTAATTTTGAAGATTTATAGATTTTTTGTTCCAGAATTGTGGGACTATGATTTTTAAAAATTCAACAAATTTCTAAAAGCAAACAGCAGATTTTTTCTCATATTAAATCTGTTTCTTTGTTTTTTATTTCATCTTCTTTTACAGCTAACAAATCATCTCATTGTCTTGAAGATCCAGTATGATGTTTCATTAATGCATTTTTTTTTTTTTTGGCAGGAAGCTCGACCATTTTCCTGTCATCTCTGCGAGTACAATTGTAAATTAAAAGGAAATTTGAATAGTCATATGAAGAATATTCACAAATTAGAAATAGTTTCTATCAATAAATTACACGAAAAAGTTGTCAAAACAGGTAAAGGCTATGATGAATATATGGAGGCTAGAAGAAAACGTTTTTTTGAACCAGACAAGACCTCGTTAGAATTAATAGAAACTAGACCACTTGATCAGAGCTGTGGTGTTCCTACATCAGAGGATGATTCTGGAGATCAATATCAAGATTTACTCAACATTGTTAGAACATGTAATTTACCTTTGTCCTAAAGTGACGAAATACATGTGAACAGATGATATACTGTGGATTTATTTAATTTCATTGGTTCTAATTAATGTGGATTAAGAGAAAAAAAAATGTATTTACCTGGATATTTGGTTTTGCTAAAGTCTGCAATTAAGCCTAATAACTAAAAAGCAGTGATAAGGTATCAATTTGATGACAGAAAAATAGATGCAATTAAGATTTCATTCTAATCCATATCAATGAAACATCTTCTGAAAGTGTTACTGCACATGGAAAATTTGTGATAATGACGCTATTCATGTTTTAAAAACAAATTGCTCTTTTTAGAACAAGAGAAAAAATAAAATAATTATTTATTACTTGTATGTACTTGTATGTAAATCAGATGTAGTCTGCTCTGACATATCTAATACATACACCATACACATAGTGATTGTGTGATACCGTATATTCGGTTGGTATTGCATTAGCCTGTTGGAACAGCATTTTACGTACTTCAGTGTGTCTGTCTGAAGATTCTCCAAACAATGCCAAACTAGTGGACCTAATAAACTCATTGCATGGTGGTAACCAAGCCTGGCTTTCTATTTATTGTTTTATTGTAAGCTGTTGATGTAATGATTATGTAACTCACAATGTGAGAATTAATGTAAATTTAATGAAAATAACCTGTAATAAAATTCTAGGTGTGTAACACAATTTTTTTTGTGTATCTGAAAAGTGACCTTTGTTTGTTTTTTTTTTTGTCATTTGCTGCTATTTTCAGAACACTATTTTGTTTGTATGTGTGTGTTTGTAAACTGCTTTAAGGTATTAATATCATAATTAACATCTTCCTTTCAAACCTTTCATCAATGATTTAAAGGATCCATAGATTTGTTCTTATGAGGAAGCTTCCAATGTGCCAATCCTACAACATGAAATAAACTCTCACTTTAAAATCTTCAGTATTTCAGAATTTTTTGCAATGGAATTTTGGACAGAAAAACAAGTGGAACATTTTAGTCTTGCTTCAAACTATAAAAAGCAGTAAAAAGCAGAACATAGACAAATTTTTTGAATTCCAAACAATAACTTCATAAAGCCTCCCCAAATCATTTGAATATGGAATGAGTCTGACCAATTTCACTTTTGTAGTTCAAGAATGATCTCCTGCAATTTATGGGGAAAATAGCTCTAATGCTCTAATTTTTGGGGGAAAATGGTCTTCAAGCAATCATATTACCTACTACCAATCCAAGATCCAAAGCTCTAACAGCAGCAGTTTTTCACTTTATACTAGTGATTTAAATTATCTCCTTTAACAACTCAGCCTATTTAATTGTTATCTTTCCTCAAATGCTAAATTATTTGATGTGAACACACTCTACTCACTGTATGGAATACACACTGGTGTAGGTATGGTTTGATTGATCCAAAATGTCTAGGCCCAGGTTAAGACTGATAGAACTATGGGCCAAAACATGTTTTGCTTTTACCAATAAATCAATGAAATACTCAAACTTCTATTCTATAATATTAAGTTGAAACTGGGATTAGAAGTCACCTTATGAATGCAAACTTGACCAATAGTATCTGAATTGTCATGCACCTTTGGGGATCCCTCTGGGATAAAATAAAAATCTTAAAATGATTTTCCCAAAATCCTCATACTCCATTTGGATAGGATCATGATCATTGGTGTTTAATTAAAACATGATGTGAGTTGTTTAAGCCAAACTTTTTGGATTTTGATGGTTGCTTTGAAGCCATAATTATGGGCAATATGTAATTTGTGTTACTAGTATCCAGAAAGTGAAAGTTCAAACTGGAATCAATATGTCACATTATAGACACAAATTTTATTTCACTATATAGATACAAACTTTATGTCACATAATGAAAACTTAACTAATACTGTTGGAATTTCCCATGTGGGTATAATCCTCAATGAATCCAAAAAGTGACAAAATTATTATTCTTGAACTTCTCTTCCACCATATTAGTTGGCACCATGAAAATTTGGTAAGTGATAAACGCATAATCAGCTGTTTGTGTAGAATGTTTCTGAATTTTGATATTTGAGCTTAGACTTGTAGCTTACATTGTTTATAAGAATTAAACAGATTGTGTTGGAATTTTTGTGTCCCTTAGGGCATATACATGGTCTTTTACAATTAATACTATCTACACAAAACTGGTGCTGGGATATGTAGCCTGGCTGTCATTCTCATTTAAAATACAGAATCATGGGTGCTATCTTGAAATCATATTTAGATCAAGTCATCATAAATATATGGAATATCTTTTTTCCTGTAAGAGTGTACATGTGGAGTAAAAGTATGGACACAGTTTGTTTTTAATTTTAAGCTCACCTGGCCCAAAGGGCCAAGTGAGCTTTTCTCATCACTTGGCGTTTGTGTACGTCATCATCGTCCGTTAACTTTTACAAAAATCTTCTCCTCTGAAACTGCGGGACCAAATTTACCACACTTGGCCATAATCATCATAGGGGTATCTAGTTTGGAAAATGTGTTTGATGATCCCGCCAGCCAACCAAGTTGACCGACATGCTAAAAATAGAACATAGGGGTAAAATGCAAGTTTTGTCTATTACTTTGAAAACCGTTATAAATAGAGACAGGGCAAAAAAGCTCAGAATAATAATATCTACCAATTGTTCATTGACGTTAAAACTGTCAGGTGACTTCTTATAGGAGTTATTGCCCTTATAAGACAAATTTTACGATTTTTTTAATTTTTTGCCTTTTACCTTGAAAACTATAATAGATAGAGAGAAACTTTAAGTTGCACAAATGATCAGGAAGACAAGATCTATGAATAAGGATGCATGGTCAAAATCATCAATCGACTCCTAATTAGAGTTATTGCCTTTTGATGACGATATTTACCAATTTTTTGTGTTTTTGCCTTGTATCTTAAAAATCTATAATAGATAGATAGAAACTTTAACTATAGGCTCCAAGGAGCCTGTGTCGCTCACCTGATATTTTTATTTACAATTGATGCATGAAATAATGCAACCGTTATACATTTGCTTTAGTTTCAGAGATATAAGTCAAAAACTGCATTTTCTCCCTAAGTTCTATTTTTAGCCATGTCTGACATGTTGGTTGGCAGGCAGGGTCATCGGACACATTTTTTAAACTAAATACTCTAGTGATGATTGTGGCCAAGTTTGGTTAAATTTGTCTCAGTTGTTTCAGGAGAGAAGATTTTTGTAAAAGATTACAAAAATTTAGGAATAATTGTTAAATTTGATTTTAAAGGGCAATAACTCCTTATGGGGTCAATTGACCATATTGGTCATGTTGACTTATTTGTAGATCTTACTTTGCTGAACATTATTGCTGTTTACAGTTTATCTCTATCTATAATTATTTCAAGATAATAACAAAAAACCGCAAAATTTCCTTACAATTACTAATTCAGGGGCAGCAACCCAACAACGGGTTGTCTGACTCGTCTGAAAATTTTAGGATAACAGATAGATCTTAACTTGATGAACATTTTTACCCATTGTCAAATTTGCTCTAAATGCTTTAGTTTCAGAGATATAAGCCAAAAACTGCATTTTACCCCTATGTACTATTTTAGCCATGTCGGCCATCTTGATTGGTGGGTGGGGTCATTGGACACATTTTTTTAAACTAGATACCCTAGTGATGATTGTGGCCAAGTTTTGTTAAATTTGGCCAAGTAGTTTCAGAAGAGAAGATTTTTGTAGAAGATTACAAAAATTTACAAAAAATTGTTAAAAATTGACTATAAAGGGCATTAACTCCTTATGGGGTCAATTGACCATTTTGGTCATGTTGACTTATTTGTAGATCTTACTTTGCTGAACATTATTGCTGTTTACAGTTTATCTCTTTCTGTAATAATATTCAAGATAATAACCAAAAACTGCAAAATTTCCTTAAAATTACTAATTCAGGGGCAGCAACCCAACAACGGGTTGTCTGATTCATCTGAAAATTTCAGAGCAGATAGATCTTAACCTGATGAACATTCAACCCCTGTCAGATTTGCTGTAAATGCTTCAGTTTCAGAGATATAAGCCAAAAACGGCATTTTACCCCTATGTTCTATTTTTAGCCTGGTTGGCAGGCGGGGTCATCGGACACATATTTTAAACTAGATACCCTAGTGATGATTGTGGCCAAGTTTGGTTAAATTTGGCCCAGTAGTTTCAGAGGAGAAGATTTTTGTAAAAGTTAATGGACGACGACGGACGACAGACGACGGACGCCAAGTGATGAGAAAAGCTCAAGGCCAAGATGAGACTAAAAAGCAGAAAATGATCAGCAAGACAAGATCTACATTTAAGACAATATGGAGGAAGTTTTCTGACAACTCTTTATTTGAGTTATTGCCCTTTAATGACGATTTTTACCAATTTTTTTGCGGTTTGCCTTATATGGTTAAAATTATAATACATAAATAGAAACTTTAAAAAACAAATAAGATCAGCAAGGCAAAATCCACAAACAAGTCAAATTTTGCAGATGTTGGATGTGTACTGTTATTTTTAGTCTTAGATACATGATTTTTTTATTAGTTGTTATTGGCTTTGAACTAGCTGTCAGTAACTGTGAGTACTCTAAGATCAGTACTTAGTGTCCTTTTTGTTGTTAGGGATGAGGGAGGGATAAATACCCTGCCACATCCAGTCTGTGTTTATGTTTGATGTTTTTCTGCTTTGTATCGATCTGACGAGTTAAGTCTTTTTCAACTGATTTTTATAGTTTGTCTTATGTAGTGCTGTTACACCACTGTCCCAAGTTAGGGGAGGGTTGAGCGCTCACAAACATGTTAAACCCTCCACATTCTTTATGTGCCTGTCCCAAGTCAGGAGCCTGTAGTTCAGTGGTTGTCGTTGGTTCATGTCTGTCATATTTGTTTTTCTTTAATTGTTTTTTTTATAAATTAGGCCGTTAGTTTTCTCAACTGAATTGTTTCATATTTTTCATGTCGGCACCTTTTATAGCCGACCATACAGTATGGGTTTTTCTCATTGTTGAAGGCCGTATGTGCCTATAATTGCTTTACATCCACTTTATTTGAACTTTTGTGGATAGTTGTCTCGTTGGCAACCATACCTCATCTCCTTATTATACCCCACGCAACGAGTTGCGGAGGGTATAATGTTTTTGACCCGTCTGTCCTTCCGTCAGTCCGTCAGTCCTGTTTCTTGTCATCGCAACTCCTCTCAAACCACACAACAGAATTTCACGAAACCTGTTTAGATAATAAGGACATACTATGTAGTTGGGCATATCGACAGGAAATTACGATTCTATAGTTTTCTAGGAGTTACGCCCCTTTGAACTTATTTGCTTCAATGTACTACTGCAACAGTTTGTCATCTCAACTCCTCTGAAACCACACCACAGAATTTCATGAAACTTTGTAGATAATAAGGACGTACTATGTAGATGTGCATATCGACAGGAAATTACGATTCAATTTTTTTTCTAGGAGTTACGCCCCTTTGAACTTATTTGCTTTAATGTACTACTGCAACAGTTTGTCATCGCAACTTCTCTGAAACCACACAACAGAATTTCATGAAACCTTTTTAGATAAGACGGACATACTATGTAGATGTGCATATCGACAGGAAATTACGATTCAATTTTTTTTCTAGGAGTTGCGCCCCTTTGAACTTATTTGCTTTAATGTACTACTGCAACAGTTTGTCATCGCAACTCCTCTGAAACC